CCCGCCCCCACATACTTATTCCCCTTGGCCCGTTCGATTTTGTTAAAAAAAACGTACTCAAACATCTATTAACCATGGTGATTATTAACCATAGTTTCTTAGCAGACAAATCTTTTTTTCATAGCGTGTTTCTTTTTCTCTTTCTAGGTGGGAAAAGGAGATGTTCTTTTTAAAAGGTGGACACATTTAGTATTTGTGAAATTGAGATTTAGTGTTTGTGAAAGTTAAAATTTCGTAGGTACTTCACTAAAATTTGAACGAGAATCCCACGTCAAACAACTCCATAGCCATTAATCCTCACCCTTTTCGAAAATAGAAGATTAATAATACCGTCCGTAGTCACTATTTTCAGCAACTAAAACCAACTAGAACTCCAGCGAAAATGGGGATCTATGGTTAGAAAGAGAAAGGAAAAAGGAGGGTCGCCATAGTGAGTCTTTTCCAGCAAAGTCCACCAAGATTCGAGGTGATCTCCTGGATGTTCGATATTCCGAGAATCTATGATGTTGCTTGCTGGTCATGAACCCTGATTCGTTTGCTGTCTGGGTTTTGACAGGGTGACATGAAGGTAAAGAAGAGAACAGGAGAGGTAGAGGGCTAGCAAAACCGGTCGAGTGGACTTACAGAAATAGAGGAAAAATGTGACAAAAAGAAGATAAAGTGGGTCTGGTTGTGTGTTTTCGGATGGAGGACAAAGGGGGTGATGGTATGTGGTGGTAGTAAGTGGAGGAGGGAGAGATGAAATGAGGAAAAAAGAGGAGTAAGATTTGGGATACTTCTTTTTGATGGAGAAAAAGGAGATGGAATTGAAATTTTTATAAAGAATAATATGTTAGAATAAATAATGATGTGGCATTAAATAATCTGAGGTGGATCTGATATGTCATTCATGTCATGTCAGGGCAAGTGAGCAGGACACATTGTTGGCCGTGTTTAAAACTTATGTTTCGGTCGAGTTCAAGCGTCTAATTGAAATTTAGAATATTAGAATTTAGAATATTCTGCCTAGATGAAAACACAATTGAAAACAGGACTTGAAGAAAAAAATTAAAAAGTTTGAAGTTTTTGCAACTACATTTTACTTCATAACTTGTAGCTTCGTACAGAAGCAAACAACTGAAAATAAAACTTCAAGAAAAGTTCTAACTTTTGCAATGATACTGTTGCTAGTGCGTTACTGTACAAAAAGACGCTCCAAATTCTACCACTATTCCGATTTCCCAAAGTCTATTTTCAAGAGGAAATGCAGTAATACAGAAGAAAAACACAAAGAAAAGTTTTAGGCCATCTGGGGCAATCCAACTGCAGACTCTCACACAATTTAGCATTGAAAATGTAATATTACAAGAGAACATCTCACAGGCCTATAGGTCAATTATAACATGTAGTATGTCTATGTCTTATTTAAAGAGACGCAGTATTAGCACACAATGTAAAAAGCCAGGTGAAGTTGATATTATAAGTAGACACTAGTTTACTTCCACTTCTTGAATTTGCCTCCGAACATCCCGCCCTTGCCATGCTTAAACTTGCCATGCTTTCCGTGCTTGAATTTCCCATGCTTGCCATGCTTAAACTTGCCTCCATAATGACCGCCTCCATAATGACCATGACCGCCTCCATGTCCATAGTGAGCAGCACCGTGTGCCATGTGAGATCCACTACCGTGTGCCAGGTGATGAGCACCATAGGCAGCAGCTGCAGCTGCAGCACCTCCAGCTAACATCGCCCCCATGCCCCCATGACCTGAAATGTAACAAGCAACAAAAGGGCAAAAAATACCATCAACAATGAAAGAAAATGTCAAAAAGTATTTGGTCACAAATAGCTAGCTATTATGAAGCACTGCTAGAATTGTATGTACTCTGTTTCAGTGCTCACAATATATAAACTGTTCTTGTCATATTTGTGCCATCTAGTTGTAAAAGAGATTCTAAGAAATTTAACTAGACATGTTCAACATATTGTGCAATTGCTATAGTTACAGCTTTCTATTACTCATTGGGGCCTAAATAAATCAATTCCAAAGATAATACCTGATTGGTGTGGAGGAGTGTGGTGACCACCAGCGGGAGGATATCCTTGTGGAGGATATCCAGCAGGTGGGTATCCTCCTCCTTGTGGAGGATAACCCTGAGGAGGATATCCTTGAGGAGGATACCCTTGCTGCGGAGGGTAAGCACCAGGCGGCGGAGGGTACTGCCCCGGTGGATATCCATGACCAGAAGAATGACCAGTATGACTGGGTATAAGATGGGAAAAGAGTCCCTTATCAGATCCATCCTGTCCACCTCCCATATTTCACTACTAGTACCTGTTACATGTCAAACATATTACAACAATGTCAAATTCAAAATAAAATGAAATTTGCAGAAGATAGAAAATATGACACACAAGAAAATCAAATTGTAACTCCCTTTCAACTTTGAAACCTATAATGCTTTCTGGAACATCAATCAGTCAAAGACAGAGTATGTGCAGCCACTAGCTTTGAGCTCATATAAGGATACAAGATAGCACACAACGGTTATAGAAAAAGGGTCACTTTTATATACAGTAAGCGCTCTAAAACACATGAAAAAGGTGGGACAATAAAACATGATAAGCTACTATTGGGGAAAAGAAGGGGGTGTGGGGGGGGGGGGACGATAGCTAAAAAAGTAGGTGAAAATGTAAAATTTAACATGACAAGTTATAACCAAAATTGCAGGAAGCCAGCAAATATGTTCTGAGCCAGAGAAAGTGCAAGAAACAGGAGGAGGGTAGACATTAACATTTTTTTTGTGTGGATTTCCAGGCAGTACCATTATCTCCATCAAATTCAAAACTCAGATCCATCATATTTGATTAAATTTTCAGATCACCTTTAGGAAAACCAAGCCAACACCTCTTAAAGTCTAGAAAAGCAAAGGTTCCCCCACCCACTTTTTGGATAAGTTAGAAACATCAAAGGTTAAAGCAATTCAGTTTATATTTTGAGGTAAATGGGAAGGGTTTTTTATGGGGTTGGGGGGGGGGAGTAAAGGAGAAGACACTAGAATATAATGAAGCAAAAGGAGCTACAGCCAAAGATTCGTTCTTTTTTTATTTGCTGAATATAATGTAGGTTACATGGCCACACTTTTGTCGTACACATCAAAAAGACAAAAACCCCATAAAACAGGTCTCTACTCCTTTATACAAATTCATGCAAAAGGATAGTAATCATCTTCTAAAGCATCCAAATTCAGTTTCAGAATAGGACAATTCTCAACCCAAAAGCAGAAAAAAACGAATAGTCGAAGTTGATCTATCTAATCTCTATTGGTGATCATACAACAAACAAAAGCTCAAGAAATCAAAACGGTGGGACCAAACCCTCTGATCTCCATTTGACCAAACGCAAATCAAGAAAATATCAAACACAAGGGTATAAAAGATCAAACTTGTAAAAAAAAACAGATGTTATGTTTCAGAGTCGTGATCAACTGGGTAATTCAGATCCAATTTGATCATTCATTGTATGACTTAATACAAGAAGTAAAAGGGGAAGAAGGATTCTTACAGATTTCTTTGTTGAGCGAACGTTAAGCAAAGTTTTTCGAAGGAAGATTTCCAAAGAGTGGATACGGTCTATGAGTATTTATTTGAACTCGCTCTTTAGTAGTGGAAGATATTTAATTTATTCCACGCGTTACTTAAACGCGTACATGACGTGTCTACTTTCGATAAGGAAAATGCCAATATATGGAAAATCTTAGCAGTTGTTGTGACTTGTGGCCTGTGGGGTCCTTCTTCTACACCGAATCAAAATATTCTTTTTCATTTATCTTTTCAATTTTTCCTATTTTGGAAAAACCAAAAAAAATACAAAGCCGTTCTTTTTCTTCTGAAAATAGCACACGCTTCTTTACATTTTATATGCCAATACTTTCGTATCATCCATTCCAAAAAGTATGAGTTTTCATAAATTAACTATGTCAAATTATAATTTAGATTATTTGATTATGTACAAATAATCTTAAAATTAAACCTTCTATATAAAAATTATAAATAATTATTAGATATTAATTAAAAAGTAAGACATGAAACCATTTTTCAAATCTCAGAGTGATAACTTGTTTTCTTTTTTTATACTGTAATAATCCAATCCCTTGATTTTGGCACTTGTATTTTATTTTACGGTTGATAGTAAATAATACTCAACATATAATGTTGCGATCTATCTTGTTTGAGCATATTAAATAATATTATTTTGGCAAAATTCTTACTACCACTTTATTTTTCATCTCAAATTCAAATAAGTGTCACGACCCGAATTTTCCACCCTCGGGAGTCGTGATGGCGCCTAGGGGTGTGCATTCGATTTATCGATTAGATTTTGACCCTTATCGATTATCGATTTGTACATATGCTTATCGTTATCGTTTCAATAAGGTTTCGATTTTTTCGATTTCGATTTATCGATTTTTGGGGCTTATCGATTCGGTTATCGATTACACCAATAAGAAAATTTGCGGGATTCCACAGAAAGTATATTGCTATAAACACGCCTAACTAATATGGACAAAAATAAGCTAAAATAAGACGAACACCGTTTATAGCATAAAAATTGTGTCAACAAGCACATGCAATGAAACTAATGTAAGGGATCAAATGTATGTCACCAACACTCCAACGGTATAAAAATAAATAAAAATACATCATCACGACTAATTCTATTTTCCATTAATTTGAACTTCATTCCCTTGAGCTTTAAATATGATCATTTCTTAAATGTGGTATATGAAATAATAGGGTTAGAGACTTAGGGTAAAGGAATGGGTATTATAGAATAAGGATTTTTTAGTATATCTTATCGGTTTATCGATAAACCGATAACCGAAGAGGACAAAATCGTAATCGAAATCGATAACTCGATAAGGAAAATTTCGAAATCGAAATCAAAATCGATAAACCGATAACAAATAATAGATTCGATTTATCGATAAACCGATTCGAATGCACACCCCTAATGACGCCTACTAGTGAAAGCTAGGCAAGCCAATTAGTCCAATTATTTAACCATCTTCATTTTTAATCCCTTAGCAATTCCAACACAACATAACAAAAGCAGCGGAAATAATAATAACAAAAACAGTGCGGAAGACAAAAATTGATAATTTAGATTAATACAAACTGCGGAAGTCTAAGTACAACTCTACCCAAAATTTGGTGTCACAATGTCACGGACCATCTATGAATACTACAAATAAAGTCTGAATAGAAATACACGAATCTGTCTCTGAATAAGTAAAAAACAGAAGGAAATGACAGAAGGAGACGCCAAGGCTTGCAGACGCCTACAAGACTACCTCGAGTCGCCTGAATGGACTGAAGGCAGCCACCTTACTGCAGTCCAAAAGCTGCAGCACCGGGATCTGCACACAGTGCAGAGTGTAGTATCAGCACAACCGACCTCATGTGCCGGTGAGTGCCTAGCCTAACCTCGGCGAAGTAGTGACGAGGCTAGGACCAAACTACCAAATAAACCTGTGCAGTTAAATCATATACAACAAAAAATAAAGGCAGAAACGTACAGTTAAGGATAAGATGGGGAAACATGATGCGGGGAACATCAAATAATAATAGAAGAACATTAGATAAATATAAGGAACACCAAAGTTCAATTATCAACAAGAATCAGAAATAAAAGACAAGTGCACGACATCACCCTTTATGCTTTTACTCTCGTCCTCACCATAAAATCAATAAAATCGGCACGAAACCACCCTTCGTGCTTTTACCTCACATAATCATGGCACGGAATGATCCTTCGTGCATTATCACTCATATCATGGCACGGAATTGCACATCGTGCGGCACGACATCACCCTTCGTGCTTTTACCTCACAATATCGGCACGACATCACCCTTCATGTATTAACACTCTCAAAAATCATACACGTCATCATCCTTAGTGCTTTACACTCTTTCTCACCCAAGCAACAATCACAAAGCAATTTGGGCAAGGGAATCAATAATATTTCAATAAAATCCCGGCAAGAGAACAATAGTATAACAATAATATCCCAGCAAGGGAAAACAATATCATGAATAACAATATCCCGGCAAGGGAAACAATACCAAAAATAATAACATCGCGACAAGGGAGACAATATCATAAACCTCTTCTCTTTTTCACAATTTCCTCACAACTCATTTCTCAACTTGAGCCAACGCTTTACAATGATCAATTACCAACAATACTTCCACAAGTCTTGTTCAACAATAGTAATCATCATATAAGCATGAACAATACGAAACAGAGTCACATTAATCATGGTATAAAACTCATGGGCATGCTTGACACCAACGTATAGATACTCGTCACCATGCCTATACGTCGTACTCAACAATTAACACATAGCAAATAAGACCCGACTCCTAATCCCTCAAGCTAAGTTTAGACCAAACACTTACCTCGATGACACAAACACAATTCAAGCCTCAACTACCGCTTTACCTCTTGTTTCTACCACCAATTCGCTTGTATCTAGCCACAATTTACGTAACGGTATCAATAAATGCTAAATGAATCAATTCTAATGCATGAAAATAGGTTTTCTAAAGTTTTTTCCAAAAAGTCAAAAATCGACCCCGGGCCCACATGGTCAAAACCCGAGGTTCGAACCAAAACCCGATTACCTATTCACTCACGAACCCAAATATATAATTTATTTTGAAATCGGACCTCAAATCGAGGTCCAAATCCCCAAAAATTGAAAAATAAAACTAAGTTCTACCCAAAACACCCAATTTCCCCCATGAAAACCCTTGATTTTGAGTTGAAATCATGTGAAAAGATGTTAAAGATTAAAGAAAACGAGTTAGAAATGACTTACAATCAATTTGGAAGAGCAGTTGTCTTTGAAAAATTGGCCAAAGGTGTTTTTGGTTTGAGCGGGTTTGAAAAATAAGAAATTTTCGGCTAAGTTATGATTTAGCAGGTTGCAGATGTCGCAATTGAGACCATCAAAACCTGCTGACTTCGTAAATGCGAAGACTATGTCGCATTTGCGACTCTGAAGGAATCTGGTAACCTTCGCATTTGCGAGGGACCCTTTGCATTTGCGATATCGCATTTGCGATGAACGTGTCGTATTTGCGACCAAGACCTGCCCAGGCTTGGTTCGCATTTGCGATGCATGGGTCACAATTACTAAGCCTGAGAACTTCGCAATTGCGAAGCCTGATCTCGCAATTGCGAGATTAGAGGCCTGGGCAAAAATACCAGATACCAGCACTTGATCCTAAGTTCAATTTCACTCCGTGGCCTATCCAAAACTCACCCGAGCCCTCGGGGCTCCAAACCAAACATACACACTAACCTAAAAATATCATACGAACTTGCTTGTGCAATCAAATCATCAAAATAACATCAACAACTATGATTAAACCCCAAATTTATAAAATCATTCAAGAACACCAAAATTTCCAATTTCTCAACTTTAAATCCGTTTTATACCACACCAATTCCGATCTTTACCAAATTTTTTAGATTCAACCTAATTATTATTTCAAACTTGTACCGGCTCCGGAACCAAAATACGGGCCCGATACCATCAATTTCAAACATCTTTCATTTCCAAAAATTCTTATATATTGCAGAAAATAATTTTCTTTAAAAATTTATTTCTCGGGCTTGGGACCTCGGAATTCGATTCCGAGCATACGCCCAAGTCCCATATTTTTCTACGGACCCTCCGGGATCGTTAAATCATGGGTCCAGGTCCGTTTACCCAAAATGTTGATCGAAGTCAACTTAAATTCACTTTAAAAGTAAAATTTATCATTTTTCACAGATTTTCACATAATGGCTTTTCGGATATACGCTCGGACTGTGTACGCAAATCGATGTGAGACAAAAAGAGGTTTTTAAGGCCTTGGAATACATAATTTATTTCTAAAACAAGTGATGACATTTTGGGTCATCACATTCTCTACCTCAAAACAATTGTTCGTCCTCGAACGGACATAAGAAGGAAGTACCTGAGTCGGGAAAAAGATGGGGATATTGGCTCTGCATATCGGACTCGGACTCAAACTCCTAGGTTTCTGCCTCAACAGGCTGACCTCTCCAATGAACACGAACAGAAGGGAAACTCTTGGATCTCAACTGACGAACCTGCCGGTCTAGAATAGCTACCAGCTCCTCCTCACAGGACAAGTCCTTGTCCAACTGGATAATGCTGAATTCTAACACGTGGGATGGATCGCCATGATACTTCCGAAGCATGGACACATGAAACACTGGTCACAGCTGATAAGCTCGGCGGTAACGCAAGTCTGTAAGCTACCTCTCCCACTCGATCAAGATTCTCAAACGGGCTAATGAATCTAAGGCTAAGCTTGCCCCTCTTCCCAAATCTCATCACGCCCTTCATAGGCGACATCCGAAGAAACACCCACTCGCCAACCATAAATGTCATATCACGAAACTTACGGTCGGTATAACTCTTTTGTCTGGACTGAGCTGTACAAAGCCTATCCTGAATGATCCTGACCTTGTCCAAGGCATCCTGTACTAGATCCGTGCCCAACAACCGAGCCTCTTCCGGCTCAAACCATCCAACTAGCGACCGACACCGCCTACCATATAAAGCCTCATAAGGAGCCATCTGAATGCTCGACTGGTAGTTGTTGTTGTAGGAAAACTCTGTTAAAGGCAAGAACTGATCCAACGAGCCTCCAAAGTCAATGACACAAGCTCGGAGCATATCCTTCAAAATCTGAATAGTGCGCTCGAACTACCCGTCCGTCTGAGAATGAAATGTTGTGCTCAACTCGATCCATATGCCCAACTCACGCTAAACTGCTCTCCAGAAATATAAGGTAAACTGCATACTTCGGTCCGAAATGATAGACACGGGCACACCATGAAGATGAACAATCTCCCAGATATAGATCTTAGCTAACCTCTTAGAAGAATAGGAGACTACTATAGGAATGAAATGTGCTGACTTGGTCAGCCTATCAACAATAACCCACACTATATCAAACTTCCTTTGAGTCCGTGGGAGTCCAACAACGAAGTCCATAGTGATACGCTCCCACTTCCAATCAGGAATCTCAATCTTCTGGAACAAACCCTCAGGTCTCTAATGCCCGTACTTTACCTGCTGACAATTCAAACACCGAGCCACATATGCAATAATATCCTTCTTCATCCTCTTCCACCAATAATGTTACCGCAAATTCTGATACATCTTAGCAGTGCCCGGATAAATAGAGAACCGAGAACTATGGGCCTCCTCTAGAATCAAATCTCGAAGCCCATCCACATTAGGTACACAAACTCGACCCTGCAGCCTCAAAACTCCATCATCTCCTAATGTAACCTTCTTGGCAACTTCGTGCTGCACCGTGTCCCTAAGGACACACAAATGAGGATCATCATCGTGCTGATCTCGGATACACTCCAATAAAGAAGAATGAGTGACTGTGCAAGTTAACATATGGCTAGGCTCAGAAACATCCAACCTCACGAACTGATTGGCCAAAGCCTGAACATCTAAAGCAAGCGGTCTCTCACCGATCGAAATATACACAAGACTGCCCATACTGGCTGACTTCCTACTCAAAGCATCTGCCATTACATTAGCCTTCCCCGAATGATATAAGATGGTGATATCATAGTCTTTCAATAACTCCAACCACTTTCTCTGCCTCAAATTTAGCTCCTTCTGCTTGAACAAGTATTGCAAACTCTTGTGATCCGTGAACACCTCACATGACACCTTATACAGATAGTGCCTCCAAATCTTCAACACGTGAACAATGGCTGCTAACTCCAAATCATGAATTGGATAGTTCTTCTCATAAATCTTCAACTGCCGTGAAGCATAAGCAATGACCATACCATCCTGCATAAGCAATGACCATGCCATCTTGCATTAATACCGTACCAAGTCCAATACGAGATGCGTTACAATAAACTATATATAGCCATGAACCTGTGGGAAAAACCAACACTGACACCGTAGTCAAAGCTGTCTTGAGCTTCTGAAAGCTCGTCTCACATTCGTCCGACCACCTGAACTGGGCACCCTTCTGGGTCAACCTGGTCATCGGAGCTGCAATAGATGAAAACCCCTCCATAAACCGACAATAATAGCCTTCCAAACCCAAGAAACTCTGCATCTCTGTAGCTGATGCGGGTCTAGGCCAGTTCTTGACTGCCTCTATCTTCTTCGGATCCACCTGAATATCCTCTGCTGAAACTACGTGACCTAAGAATGCAACTAAACTCAACCAGAACTCATACTTCGAAAACTTAGCATACAACTGACTATCTCTCAAAGTCTGAAGAACCAGTCTCAAATGCTGCTCATTCTCCTCCCGACTACGGGAATAGATCAAAATATCATCAATGAAGACTATCACGAATGAATCCAAGTAAGGCTTGAACACTCGGTTCATCAAATCCATAACAGCTGCTGGGGCATTTGTCAACCCGAATGACATCACCAAGAACTCATAATGCCCATACCGAGTGCGGAAATCTATCTTAGGGACATCGGATGCCCTAATCCTCAACTGATGGTAGCCAGATCTCAAGTCAATCTTCGAAAATACCTTAGCACCCTGAAGCTGATCAAAAAAATCATCAATCCTCGACAATGGATACTTATTCTTGATTGTAACCTTGTTCAACTGCCGGTAATCTATACACATCCTCATCGATCCATCCTTCTTCTTAACAAACAACACCGGCACACCCCAGAGCGAGACACTAGGCCTAATAAAGCCCTTATCAAGCAAGTCTTGCAACTGCTCCTTCAATTCTTTCAACTCGGGCGGGGCCATACGATATAGTGGGATAGAAATAGGTTGGGTGCCCGGAGCCAAATCAATGTAGAAGTCAATATCCCTGTCGGGTGACATACCCAGCAGGTCTGAAGGGAAAACCTCAGGAACTCACGAACAACAAGCACAGAATCCATAGAAGGAACCTTAGCACTAGAATCACGAACATATGCCAAATAGGCCAAACACCCCTTCTCGACCATACGCTAAGCCTTCATATATGAGATAACACTACGAGTAGAATGACCAGGAGTTCCTCTCCACTCTAGACAAGGAAACCCCGGCAAGGCTAAGGTCACAATCTTGACATGACATTCCAAGATAGCATGGTAAGGTGATAACCAGTCCATCCCCAATATGACATCAAAATCAACCATATCCAATAGTAACAAATCTACTCGAGTCTCAAGACCCCAAATCATAACTATACATGAACGATGGACACGATCTACCACAATAGAATCACCCACCGGTGTAGACACATATACAGGATCACTCAAAGAGTCACTAGGCATGACCAGATACAGTGTAAAATAAGATGGCACATATGAGTATGTAGATCCCGGATCAAATAGAACTGAAGCATCTCTACTACAAACCAGAACAGTACCTGTGATAAGTGCATCGGAAGCATCAGCCTCAGGTCTGGCTGAAAAAGCATAACATCGAGGCTGAGCCCCACCACTCTGAACTACATCTCTAGGATGGCCTTCTACTGGCTGGCCTCCACTTCTAGCGGCATGACCTCCACCTCTAATACCTCTACCTCCACCTCCACATCTAGCTAGCTAAGCAGGCGGTGGAACACTCGGTGCTTGAACCATAACACGGGAATCTTGATGCTGAGAGTTGCTCGGTGCTCGAGGGCAAAATCTAGCAATATGCCTCATATCGCCATATGTATAACAAGCCCTCAACAGCTGAGACTGCTGACCTTGACGGCCTGAATAACCACTCTGAAAACTCTGGAGCAGAGGTGCACTGATAGGAGCTGACGGTGTATTGTAGGGCAACTGATTAGAATACTGCATATGAGAACCACCACCACCTGGAGCACCATGAGAAGCCTAAAGTACTGAATGAAACGACCTGGGAGGATGGCCCCTACCAAAAGAATTCCTGCCTCCAGATGAGGCACCACTGAACCTCCTAGAATGACGAGGTCCCTTGTCAGACCCCTGACCACCCCGATGTGATAGAACCATCTCAACCCTCCTGGCCATATTGGCCGCATCCTGAAAAGAAATCTCGTTCCCCGTCTCCTTAGCCATCTGAAGTCGAATAGGCTGAACGAGTCCCTCAATGAAGCTCCTTACTCTCTCTCTATCAGTGGGAAGTATAAGAAGAGCATGACGGGCCAAGTCAATAAATCTGGTCTTGTACTGAGTAACAATCATAGAACCCTGTTGGAGACGCTCAAACTGCCTCCGATTGTTCTCCCTCTGAGTAATGGAAAACAATTTCTCCAGAAATAGCTGAGAAAACCGATCCCAAGTCAAAGCTGGTGACCCAACTAGTCTAGCCAAACAATAATCTCTCTACCAAGTCTTGGCGGATCAAGATAAGCGAAAAACAGTAAAGTCGACCTCATTAGTCTCCCCTATCCCCATGTTCCTGAGAACCTCATGACAGTTGTCTAAATAATTTTGGGGATCCTCAGAAGATGCACTGCTGAAAGTGGTAGTGAAGAGCTTGGTAAACCTGTCCAATCTCCACAAGGCATCAACAGACATAACTGCTCCATCACCGGTCTGAGCTACCACACCCGACTGAACTGCTCCAACTAGCTGAGTTGCTGGAGTCTGGAACTGGGGAGCCATCTGCCCCTGAGTGCGGATAGCGGGAGTCTGTGCTCCTCTCCCGGCCTAAGAGATAGCTGGTGCTACCAGAAGTAAACCTACCCGGGTGACACTCTTCATAAGGCCCACTAGATAGACCAGAGCATCCTGGAGTACTGGGGTAGCAATGCACCCCTCTGGGGCCTGAGCTTGGCCCACCGGAACTGCCTGGTCCGGAACCTCATCATCAAACTCAACCTGAGGCTCCGCTGCTGGTGTTGCTGCTCTGGGCTGAGCTCTGCCCCTACCTCGGCCTCTAACACAGCCTCCCCCTTGCCCTTTGCCCCTCGTGGGAGCTATTGTTGGGGGCTTAGGCTGCTGATCAGTGGATGAGGAAGCGCGTGTTCTCGCCATCTGCGAAAGAACAAAGTAAAAATTCAATTAGCATTGAGAAACCAAACCGCACGACAGGAAATAATAGATGTGAAGTTTTTCCTAACTCTGCAGCCTCTAGGGATAAATACAGACGTCTCGGTACCGATCTCTCAGACTCTACTAAGCTTGTCCGTGAATTGTGAGACCTAAGTAACCTAGAGCTCTGATACCAACTTATTATGACCCAAATTTCTCACCCTCAGGAGTCATGATGGCGCCTACTAGTGAAAGTTAGGCAAGCCAATTATTCCAATTATTTAACCATTTTCATTTTTAATCCCTTAGCAATTCCAACACAACATAACAAAAGTAGTGGAAATAATAATAACAAAAACAGTGCGGAAGACGAAATTTGATAATTTAGATTAATATAAACTGTGGAAGTCTAAGTATAACTCTACCCAGAATTTGGTGTCACAATGTCACGGACCATCTATGAATACTACAAATAAAGTCTGAATAGAAATACACGAATCTGTCTCTGAATAAGTAAAAAACATAAGGAAATGATAGAAGGAGACGCCAAGGCCTGCGGACCACTACAAGACTACCCCGGGTCGCCTGAATGGACTGAAGGCAGCCACCTCACTGCGGTCCAAAAGCTGCAGCACCGGGATCTGCACACAGTATAGAGTGTAGTATCAGTACAACCGACCCCATGTGCTGGTAAGTGCTTAACCTAATCTCGGCGAAGTAGTGACGAGGCTAGGACCAAACTACCAAATAAACCTGTGCAATTAAATCATATACAGCGGAAAATAAAGGCAGAAATGTACAGTTAAGGATATGAGGGGAAAACATGGGGTGGGGAACATCAAGTAATAATAGAAGAACATCAGATAAATATAAGGAACATCAAAGTTCAATTATCAACACGAATCAGAAATAAAAGAAAAGTGCACGGCATCACCCTTCGTGCTTTTACTCTCGTCCTCACCATAAAATCAATAAAATCGGCACGAAATCACCCTTCGTGCTTTTACTCTCGTCCTCACCATAAAATCAATAAAATCGGCACGAAATCACCCTTCGTGCTTTTACCTCACATAATCATGGCACGGAATGATCCTTCATGCATTATCACTTATATCATGACACGGAATTGCACATCGTGCGGCACGACATCACCCTTCGTGCTTTTACCTCACAATATCGGCACGACATCACCCTTCGTGCATTAACACTCTAAAAAATCATACACGGCATCACCCTTCGTGCTTTACACTATTCCTCACCCAAGCAACAATCACAAAGCAATTTGGGAAAGGAAATCAATAATATTTTAATAAAATCCCGGCAAGGGAACAACAGTATAACAACAATATCCCGGTAAGGGAAAACATGAATAACAACATCTCGACAAGGGAAACAATAACATCCCGGCAAGGGAGACAATATCATAAACCTCTTCTCTTTTCCACAATTTCCTCACAACTCATTTCTCAACTTGAGCCAACGCTCGACAACTATCTATTACCAATAATACTTCCACAAGTCTTGTTCAACAATAGTAATCATCATATAAGCATGAACAATACGAAACAGAGTCACATTAATCATAGTATAAGACTCACGGGCATGCTTGACACCAACGTATAAATACTCGTCACCATGCCTATACGTCTTACTCAACAATTAACACATAGCAAATAAGACCCGACTCCTAAACCCTCAATCTAAAGTTAGACCAAACACTTATCTCGATGCCACGAACACAATTCAAGTTTCAACTACCGCTTTACCTCTTGTTTCCACCACCAATTCGCTTGTATCTAGCCACAATTTACCTAACGATATCAATAAATGCTAAATGAATCAATTCTAATGCATGAAAATTGGTTTTCTAAAGTTTTTCCCAAAAAGTCAAAAATCAACCCCGGACCCACATGGTCAAAACTCGAGATTTGCGATGAATGTGTCGCATTTGCGACCAAAACCTGCCCAGGCTTGGTTCGCATTTGCGACGCCTGGGTCGCAATTACCAAGCTTGAGAACTTCGCAATTGCGAAGCCTGATCTCACAATTGCCAGATCAGAGGCCTGGGCAAAAATACCAGATACCAACACTTGATCCTAAGTCCAATTTCACTCCGTGGCCTATCCAAAATTCACCCGAGCCGCCGGGGCTCCAAACCAAACATACACACTAACCTAAAAATATCATACGGACTTGCTCGTTCAATCAAATCATCAAAATAACATCAACAACTATGAACCAAAATTGCACAATGATTTTATGCAATTTGTCGTATTACTTGTTAAAATTTTCTTTTAGTGATAAGGCATTAGTTTTAAGGATGCAATATATGTACTTTTGTTAGAAGAAATTTAATTCCGGTTTCTGGGCANATTAAAAGTCTAAGTGGGAGATTGTTGGGATATATACAATTAACCATGAGTTTGGTTTAGATATAGTATTTATTATGAAATAATTGTTTATTCAGTTTTACTNACCTGCATTGTGTGGAGGGTAACATGCAGGAGGATACCCTTGTGGAGGATATCCACTGGCAGGCGGATACCCTTGTGGAGGATAGCCACCAGTCGGAGGATATCCTGGTGCAGGAGGATATCCTTGCGGAGGTGGATACACTTGCGGAGGATTAACATACGCTTGTGGAGGGTAAGCTCCAGGTTGTGGAGGATATTGCCCTGGATAACCATATTGACCTAGATGTTTATTTTTTCCGCCTCCCATTCTTCACAGAGTACCTAATTTTGACAAAACTATTAATGAAATCAAACGGAAGGTTTGGATGTGCTATAGCAATTTGTTTAGATGAACAACAATAACATCAATTTTATTCGTATGGATGGTCTGGATGACATTTGATTGTTTTGGAAGTCAAAACGAAATGTCTTATAAAAAGAATCACAAAATTAAACTTAATTGTAAAAACTTTTGTACAAATTTTTTGAAATGAGGAGTAATTACTTATTATTTTTAAATTTTACAACTTTCACGCGATCTGATTCCATAGTAAAGTTGAGAAGCTTAAGCTCACAACTTTCAAGCTATATATCTAAACGTTAAGAAAATACGACAAATTAAGTTGTCATATGCTTCCTCTTTCACTTTCTAAGATCTAATCCAACATAAACAATGAAAATAAGATTTTTGCATTCTCAACCATGAAAAATCAAGAAGTTTGATGGTTCAAATGAAAAAAAGCAAGACGAGAAAAGAAAACGTGTAAAAGATAAAACAAGCAATATTAAGGTTTTATGATATGGCCATATATATAACATCTTGCAGAAAATGCCTGAGAGGCGCAACAAAACCAAAGATTTGGAGTTTATAGATCTTACGGGTTCTCCTTGCGGTTTTTTGGAGAGAAGAATGGAAGACAAGATGAAACACAATAGTATCATAGTGGATGAGTATTTATAGCTTATTTTACTTACGTCATTAATATATTGAGTGGTCGTGCAATACAATAAACATATTAACCAATGATTTCATTTCCAAGTGTAGAGATTTAGGAATACATTGGATAGTTATAGTTTGTTTTACTTGGGTGATTGAACATTAAATATTGAGGTAATTTTTGGTTGGTTCACTTGGTTAATCACTAAATATTGAGTGGTTTTGGTTTACATACAACAAACAGAGTGACCAATGATTTTCTTCCTAAATCAATGAAATATAAAAAATTACATATATAAGGTTTTAACTAACAATTTAAATTGAGACCGTTTTACTTTTTAACTTCAGCAATATTGTAATTTCAAATTTCACGCATTAAATTTGCAGACTATCAACTGAAACCTCGAAACAACGCTAATGGTCATCAAATATGAATATATCTTATGAAAGTTTTGGCGTGGAGCTTCGTTTTAGTTCTCACCAATATTAGAGACCCAATAGCTATGGCTCTAACTACATATATGTGCTAAAAGAATTTATTAAACAAGTAATAATAGATTATGAATCCAGTAAATCAAATAAACTATCGCCAGATCTTAACCTCGAAATCATAAAGTTCAAATCTTGGATCTACCTTTGTGTGTGATCCTATGGACAGAGTCATATATGGGTCTAGAATTTATATTTGATTGATTCAACCTTCACGTTTTGACCCTGTACTCATTACACATTTTAAATTATAAGTTTAAAATTATTATTTTTTAATATAATTTTAGTTTGCTTAGCTGTGAGATTAAGATACCGTGTCACTTGGGGGTCCTTTAATATTGTAATGGATCATGATAAGGTGTCAGCCTTCGGGTTCTTTGGCTGAATATATTGCTAGCCTCTTAAACTTGTCCCCAATTTTCACTATAACACTCAATCTTAAGTTCATTCCATTTGAACACTGCAACCAGGTTATTACTGTGTCACTTGGACACAAAAAACACAACTCGTCTTATAATTCAAGCGCGTGTATATAGCGTTGCTAACGTGTAATAGCCGATGAATAAGTGTAGTCCATGTGGAATTTTTGTCCACTTAAGAGCCACATGTATCGGGTAATTCCAAGTCAAAAGAATCGGGTTAAAGATTAAACTACCGACCCCAAATAACTATTTTAATATTACAGCCCCTCAGTAAAAAAAACCTAACCTCATTCCCGTCTCTGTCCATCCTCTTCCCCCTTCCTAAATCGATTGATCAATTAGAGAAAATTTTAGAATCATCTGCTACTTCTCATAAAAGATTGAAGCCAACAACCTGAAATTCGTCCAAATTTCATTCCCGTCTTCGTTTATCATCTGCATTTTTCATCTAAAGAAATTGTGAAGTCAATTATTTAGAGTGGCATTCAGCAAGAGTGTCGTCTTATCTAATATTTTTACTAGTATGTTTCGAGTTATTCTTTTACTGAGATTTTAGTTGTTTATTAGGGTTTTTTGTTAGTAATGGTATTTTGGGAATCGTAGATATAAAAATAAATTTTTTCGTTTCTTTTCTTCGAATCTTGTTGACTGTGCTCACGTGTTGCTTTTCTTGTTCACTTTAGGGTAAAATCATATCAGTGAATATATTCTTGTCCGCTTTCACCATGGTGGAACATTTATCGAATCTCCATGTGCCAAATATGTCACTAATATTGAGATAAATTAGTTCTTTATTGACAAAGACCATTTCTCCCTGTTTGAACTACAATATTACACAATAGGGTTGAGTTATGCAATTGTTGGGGAGTTTTATGTCTTTAACCCTAATACCAAAAAATTTGTCTTGGTGGAAAATGATGAACAACTACATAATATTGCTTGTTACTGTTAGGAGGGTATATTAGACTTGTACATTTCACATATTGTTGAGATAATTTCTAATAGTGTGATCCCAATTGGATATTTATGTGGGCAGGAGGTTTTTGAAGAAAGTAATAACACAATAAATGATCCATCTAGGGCAATAGAAGATGGTCCAGACAGTATAAATGGACCACAACCTGTTGAAGAGCCTCCACTTGAAGAGTTTGGGACTGGTATTGGTGGGGAAGGGGTTGTTGTTGGTGGGGAAGATGCTTCTGGTTATGTAGAGAGGATGTTGCTAGTGTAGAGAATGTTACCGGTGAAGCAGAGGCAGGTGAGGAAGAGGTTGCTTCAGAGGTAGCTAGTAGTGAATCAGATCTTGATGAAATTCCTAATGAGGATGATAGTAAGGTTGATGAAGAGTCTAGGACCTTCATAAATGAGATGAGAACTAAAAAGAATGCTAGCAAAAGGAAAATACAACCTGAAACTGCTATAGTGCATGTAGGAGAAGCTGGAATTGACAGAGGTTTAGAAGATATAGGATTGAACAAAAAAGATAAATATATTGGCAGATTAGGAGGTGATAAAGAGTTCATTGACATCTCAGATACTGGTAGTAATGATTCTGATGAAGAGGTAGAGGTGGATTTTGAGCCTGGTCTTAACCTTCCAAGTAGAAGGAATAGCATAAAGGTTAGATATGACAGACTGTGAAGTGCCATTTTTTGAGTTGGGCATGATATTTAAGAATGTTGAAGAATTTATGAAGGCAGTGGTTGATTATGCAATAGAGGATAAACTTCAACTGAAGCTTAAACCAAATGAGAAGGGTGGGATAAGGGTGAAGTGTAAATTAATAAAATACAAATGAGAGTTGTATGCTAGTGTTGATAGAGATTCCGGTGACTTTATGATAAAAAAGTATGATCCTATTCATAAGTGTCAACCAATGAACACCAACAAGATGTGTAATTCAAAAAATATTGCCAACAAATTCAAGAAAGAACTTATTGTTGCTCCTTATATGAGAATCTGGGAAATTCAAGAACTAGTTAAAAGAGGTTTGGATTGTATGTTGTTAGAACAATAGCTTATAGCGCCAAACAAATTGTTCTTAGAAAGTTTATGAGGGATTAGAAGATAGAGTTTACCAGATTGTGTGACTATGCTGATAGTGTTAAGGAAACCAATCTTGACAGCTCTTGTTGGGTAAAAATTGACAGAGAACCAGAGCCTAGTAAGAATCTCTTTCAGTACTTCTATGTTTGTTTTGATGGACTCAAGAAAGGTTAGTTAGGATGTAGGAACATCATTGGTTTAGATGGTTGTTTTCTAAAGGGAAGTTGCAAGGGCGAATTATTGGTGGGTGTGGGAAGAAATGAGAACCAACAGATGTTTCCTAATGCCTGGGCTGTTGTACACCATAAAACAAAACATTCATGGAGTTGGTTCAGCAGTCACTTGATAAAAGATGTGCAACTAGGTGAAGGTGAAGGATTAACAGTTCATATATACAAAAAGTAAATAATTTATTTCTGTTTGTTAGTTATTGGTATTCTAGAGTTTAGTTTAATTTCTAATGTTGTATATATTGTTTTGCAGGGGCTTTTGGTATCAGTTAAGGAGTTATTACCTATGGCAGAACAAAGAATATGTGCAAGGCACATATGGTCTAACTGGTCTAAGATATGGAAGGGAGAAGAAAGGAGGAAACAATTCTGGAGGGTTGCAAAGGCCAGCTATCTGTTTAAGTACAACAATACAGTTGCAAACATAAGGAAACTTGGCTCAACTATATGTAAATACATGATGAAGTACCTAAGAGAGACATGGTGCAGAGCATTTTTCCAAGAACATTCCAGGAGTAACATAGTAGAGAATAACATGTGTGAGGCGTTTAACTCATGGATATTGAATGCTAGGCACAAAAGTATTGTTACCATGTTAGAGGAAATTAGGCATAAGATCATGTCTAGACAGGTTAATATGATAAAGTTTGCTGAAATATTGATTTTAGATTTATCATCTATGGCTAGGCTAAATGTTAGTTTATATGAATCCACCAAACTATAGAGTACCTGATCCTCTATAAGTTTTCACTAGTAATACTAATTAAAACAGTAAGTAAATGAGACACGAAATTTTTACGTGGAAAAATCTCAGCTCAAGGGGACAAAAATCACGACCTACACATGTAGGCTTTCAACTTCACTAACTTGTAAACGCACTATTATAAGCCACTTTGTAATGACTTTATTACAAAGACTTCAACTCAACTAACTTGTGATACACTTATTACAAGCCACTTTGTCACTCACTAGTTACAAAGACTGTGACTTATGACTAATTCTAGTCACAACACAAACTCAGAAGGTTTATGATTTTGAGTTTCCTAAAACAAAGCTTCTAAGAAAGCAGGATAGGCATTACAATGAAGAACAAACAACAAGATTACAACTCAACTATGGACACACATAGACTCACTGTGGAACTGATCCTTAATGGAGTTATCTTCTTGTTCTTGACACACTTGTGACTTCAATGTTGGATCAGATCTTTAATGCTTGAGAGAATATCACTAAATGCTCAAGTGAATATTTTGTGCCTTACACCATATTGTTATACTACCAAAGATATTCGAAGGATGATGTCAATTTTTGGTTGGTACATGCCTCTTCCCAATGGGAAATGACTTCTGCACTGTTTGTTGCACTATCATGTGTACAGTTGCAGGCAGTTACTTTCTGCAGTTGCTTTCCAACTATATAGTTGACTTGTACTTCTGTCAGAGAACACCAAGGGATCAAGTCCCTGTCTTGTTCCTCTATTCTCTTTATTTGCAGCAGTTCACATTAGCTGGAGTTCAGGCTGGAATTCGTTCATTTGCAATGTGTACCAAGTATGTCAGGTTCCCTATTTGGTCCTTGACAGTAATCTTATTAGATCATTAAAACATAAGGCAGAGACATTGAAAACCCATCACTAAATATTAGAAGAAACAAGGAGTTTGGCTAGACATTGTACAATTATATAGAATGGGCAGGATATATTTGAAATTAAAAAGGAAATTTGAGGTTTATAGTTGATACTAGGATGAAGACTTGCAGTTGTAGACTTTGGAGGTTGAGAGGCATCTATGTGAACATGTTGTGTG